CCGTTGAGGCCTTTCAAAGTAATATTTCATCTATTCCCCCTGTCTTTTTCTTTCCCCTCCTCCTGAAAAATCCGGGTCTCGGCGCCTGATTTTGTCCGTTGGGTTAAGCTTGGTACTATCCTTGGTTTTATTGGACTCCCCCCCCCCCCCCCCCCCTCCCCCTCCTCTTGGCTTCCTCCTCCTCCTCAGCCCACTTCCATACCTCCTCCTCCTTCTATCATCTCTCGTTCCTCGTCTTCCTCCTCCTCGTCCTCGTCCTCCTCCCCTCCCTCCTCCAAATCCTGCTTGCCTTCTCCTCCTCTGATCGCTGCTCAGATACCTCGGACGGGTGATGGATGTCTTGGTGGAAGAGAGGAATGTGAAGCGACCAAGTCAGGTGAGACGAGAGCAGGAGCAGGAGCAGGAGCAGAAGCAGGAGCAGGAGCAGGGGCAGGGGCAGGGGCAGGGGCAGGAGGATAAAAAGAGCAAGAGAAGAGGTGGAGAAGGAGATACAAGAGGAAGGGGAGGACATGATGGAAGCGGAAATGAGGGAGTAGTGATAAGGATGTCAAGGACCAAGGTCAGAGGTAGACGAAAGAGGAGGAGGAGGAGGAGGAGGAGGAGGAGGAAGAGATTGATGGTTGTTTGGTACTGACGACCGAGTAGGTCAAGGGCAGAATTGAGCAAGGACGACCTGTTTACATCGAAGGAAACATCGACGAGCTCAAGGGCAAGGTGAGGGGAGCAGGAGCAGCTGGAAGCAAGCAAGAAGTAGGGAGAAGAAGGAAGGGAAGGGAAGGGAGTGGTGGGGAAAGGGAGGAGGGAGGGGGGCAGAGGGAGAGGGGGGAGGGATGGACGTGGGAGAGGGAGAGGAGGGAGAGGACGGGAGTGCAAGGATAGCATGTCTGTATGTCTCTTGTTTGTTGACTCTCTTGGATTCTTTCAGATTGTTCCCGTTGAGATCATTGAGATCGGCGCCTACTACCTGGTGGGCAAACAAGCGGGAGAAGCGAGATGAGCGCAAGAGAAGAGAAATGAAAAGATTCGTTGACGTGTAAAGCAACCATGATGTAGCTTTCGTACTTGTCTTCTCCTCTCCTCCTCTCCTCCTCTCCTCCTCACTGCTCATCTTCTCTCCTCCTCACTGCTCTTCTCCCTTCAACCTCTTCTCTTCAGTACCTCTGCAAGTGCTCGATCCTCCTCCTGTCTCCACTTCTCTTCTCTTCTCCTCCCCTCTCCTCTACTTTTTGTCCTTCTACCGAGCTGCTCTTAACTTTCATTGCCGATCGCCGCTCGCTCCTTCTCTTCCATGAGCAGACGACCTTCAAGATCCTGCGACAGATTTGAGGAGAGGATAGAAGGGGAGAAGGAAAGAGGAGAGAAGGAGGAAAGGAAAGGAGAGGAGGAGAGAAGTGGACAGGAGGAAGAAAACGGGAGAAGGGAAGAGGAGGAGAGGAGGAGAGGAGGTGGTGGAGAAGAGAAATTTTGAAAGGACCTGTATGGATCTCAACAATTGTCTTTCTCTCTCGCCCGCTTCTTCTTCCAGCAGCACTTTCTCATGCTTCAACTGCAATCAAGTGAAATTGTGAGCAGCTCAAGCTCTTGTATATGTCAGTCTTGTGTTGTGTGTGGTGCTGTGTATCAATCTTGTGTTGTGAGTGGTGTTGTGTATTTCAGTCTTGTTCTCACTTGATTCAGCCGATTGTTCAGCTCGTCTACGGCATCTTGCATCTGCATCTCAACAAGCCTGTTGGAGTCCTTCAACGACAACAGCTCCTGTCAACACAAGAAGATGTAAGATGTTGTGATAGATGACTTATTCTCTTCTCACATCTTCCAGCGTTGCCTGTTTGCTCATCATGTCAAGTCTTTCTTCTTTGAGTTTGTCGATGATGTTTTCTGCTTCAATGAGATCTGTTTTGACCTGTTTGCATGTGTGACTGAAACAAGACGTGACAGGTTGCGAGATTTACAATCTTGACATTCTCTTGCTCTTCGATGATGGCCTGGTAAGACGATAAGACGAGAGAAGCAAGAGTTACGAGAAAGGGGAGGGGAGGGGAGAGAACAGGGGAGGAGAGGAGGAGAGGAGGAGAGGAAGAGAGGAGGAGAGGAGGAGAGGAAAAGAGAGATTAGAGGACGAGAGAGGAGAGGAGAGGAGAGGAGAGGAGAGGAGAGGAGAGGAGAGGAGAGGACAAAACAGACAGGAAAGGAAAAAGGAGAGGGGAGGAGAGAGGAGGGGAAGGGAGGGGAGGGGAGCGGGGAGGAGAAAAGACAGGATAAGACTGAATAAGCTCATCAGGAGAGCGGAAAACCTGCTTCTTGAGTTGATAATCTTCTTCAATGTTGCTGAAGAAATCAAACTCTCAGTTTTCAAACACATCGCAGAAAAAGCGACAAATCTCTTTCTTGCGATTCATCATGATCATTGAGATCATCATGACCAGTGAACATTAACGTGATATTCATCATCATCATCACCATCACGATCATCATCATCATCCTCATTCTCATCCACATCGTCATCGTCATTTGCATCATATTCATCATCATGAAACTTAGTACTCATCAGCACCATCGGCATCATGAAAGAACTAGATCTCAACGTGTGGTGACAAACATTCACCGGATCTGCAAACTTTGACTATCAAGACGATGGTGCAGGTTGTTGATGATCTCTTCTTTCTCTCTCAACAAGAACTCTAATCTTGTCTTCAAACTCTCCATATCGTTTTCCTACCAAGAAAGAGCAACATGTGTCAGTCGTCTTTGTTTGTTCACTTCGTTGTTCTCCTTACTGTTTGCTCTTTGGTCGCCAAGACCTCGTTGATTGTCTGAGTCAACTCGTCTTGCATCAACTTGTTGCTGTAAAAGCATAATGTTCATTGAGAAGGCAACGAGAGAGGAAAAGAGGAGGAGAAGGAGGAGGGGGAAGCAGGAGCAGGAGCAGAAGGAGCAGTAGGAGCAGGATAAGGAGCAACAGGAAGAGCAGCAGCAAGAGCAGCAGCAGAAGGAGACGGAAGGGAAGGAGGACGAGAACGAGGAGGCTAAGGAGGAGGGGATGGGGATGGGGAGCAGGAGGAGCAGGAGGAGCAGGAGATTCAAAGCTCATGAATCGATTTGCAAAGGATCAATCTGACAGGAAAACGCTAACATAAAATTTCCCACATAGAACAGCAGCATACATCGCACTGGACACACAACATTTCGATTTTTCTCTTTCTTCACCTTTCTTCCATTGCAATGAGATCTGTGGTTCTGATCTCATGAAACAAAGAGTCTCTGCACAACAAACATCAAACGAGCCTCGAGATCAAGTGGATGTCTTCATACCTCCAATCGTGAAAGAACACGATCAAGTATTTCCTTGTCTGCATGAAACTGTTATGCAATACCAAATGACAAAAACTCCTCTCAAACAAAATCTCGCCCCCAATTGATCAACATTTACATCTCAACCTGTCGTTTTCTGCATTCTCATGGGCCGTAATCATGATTGCCATCATGATCTTCCTCCTCCTCCTCATCATCATCATCCTCATCACAACCATCACATCACAATCACCATCACCATCACCATTACAACCATCATCAAATCCTCTATCATCATCTCCATCATCAAAATCATGAAATGAAGCTCACCAAACAAGACTCAATCTTGTTGTCGACATGAATTTGTCTTGTTGTCTCTTTCATAATTTTCCACCACAATGACAACGTCTTTCTCATCGTCATCGCAATCCATCTCTTCATGATGCTTTTACCTGCGCAATACGGAAATCAGCGACAATACTTGTGCAACATTGCTTGAACATTACTTGTACACCAATCATCAACCTCATTCTCCGAATCATCCCCATCATCATCATTCTATTCACTATCACTATCATCGTCATCGTCCTCTCAATCATTACCATCACTATCATTATCATAAGCAGCATGCGTCACCATCCCTTTGTTTTCTTTCCAAACTTAGCTCACCAATGTTTTTGAGGCAGATTCTCATGTAAGATTGGTGGTACCACAACTTGCGTACATCTCTACAGAGCTTATTGTTCTGTATCAGAATCATCTTCCCTGCAGTTTGTGATTTCCTCTTCTCCGTCGTTGCAGTCTTCTTCCACAACTGAACTGAACAACTTGCAACATGCCTTGCATGCTTGATCATGACATGCTCCGACATGTTCCTCAAGAAGCTAACGTGCTCTTTCCACAACCTCCACTCTCTGAAGAAGACAGCCTGCATGTTGAACAGCCACCTGTACAAGCACTTGTCCATGACCCTTCTCCTCCTCCTGTTCCTCTCGGTGTTTGCAACAAGACATCTCAAGGAATGTTTGAAAGATGTCCGAAGGAACATCTTCTTGGCTCTCTCCAACCTGTTCAGCTCCTCCCTCTCCATCTGCTGTGACACTCGCGCTACAAGTCGGAAGTGCTGCATGTCCAGACTGTCAAGCTGATCTTGAAAGTTTCTCAACGCATCTTCCACAGGCTGCAGGAAAGCTCCTTGCGTACTCCTCAAACATTCTTTCCCCATCCATGTGATACTCCTCTCTCTCACCCTCCTTAGCATCTCCCTCGCAATCTCATCCGCCGACTTTCCCCTCTCCTCGTCATTGCACGACGGTAAGATACACACGTACATCTCGACTGAATTTGCAAGCTCAAATATCCCAATCACTCGGATGCGAGAGGACGGGCAGGAGATCGCCCGGCAGATGTCGCTCGCAGCTCTCTCCTCCACCCGCTTCCTTTCCATAGGATTCGGACACAATTCCCTGAAGGAGGAGGCAAGCGAGAGGACGACCGTCCTCGCCTGGGTTGCATCCTCCTCCTCCAACCTCCTCCTCAGTTCATTCACGGCCTCTGAGTTCTTGACCATCTCTTCCTCCTTCATCGAGATCTGCTGCGTCAGCATCGAGATCGTTTCCTCCTTCTCCGTGATGATCTCCCCGCTCCTCATCAGCGGCCCCCTCATCTGCTCCAGCTGCTGCTCCAGCGACTTCACACTCTGCTCCAGCTCCTCCTTCACCCTCTCGAACCACTTGGTCTTAATCTTCCCCTCCTCAATGAGATCCTTGTTCTCCTTGAGCAGCTCCTCGTACCTCCTCCTACTCTCCTCCATCCCGTCTGCGCTCTCCGCCTTCGACCGCGACTGTCTTGACAGCTGCTGGTCAAGCTCGAACTGAATCTGCTGCTTCTCCTTAGTCAGCTGGACAATCACCCTGTCAAACTCGAGCCGTTCCTCCTTCAGCTGCCGCTCAAGCTTCGCGTTCAGCTTCTGCAAGTTCTGCTGCTCGCTTGTCAGCTTGATGACAGTGTCATCGCTGCTGTGCTTCCCGCCCGTCGTCTTCGCCGCCTCAAGCTCCTTCTTGCTCTTGCTCAGCAGCACCTTGTACCTCGACTCGCTCTCCCGCAGTGTCTCAATCTCTCCCTTCAGCTGCTTCACTTCAGCCTTCTTCTCCATCTCCAACTTTTCCTTCTCTTTCCTCGTCGCCTGCCAGTTCTTCTCCGTGTCCTGCAGCTCCTCTCGCATCCGCCTCGCCTCCGCCTCTGCCTCCGCCAGATTCTCCTGCAAGACCTTGTTCCTATTCTCCAGCTCCTCTGCCCTGATCTTCCACAGCGCTGCATCCTGTGGCTGCTGCTGCTGCTGCTGGGGCAGGGAGGAAGAAGACGACGGAGTTGCTGTAGATGTTGTTGGGCCCCTTCTTGGGGTGAGGAAACTTGAGATGTTTGTGCGAGGGCTCGCGACAATCTCCTTCTTGAGCGTCTTGGTCACTTCGCTCCTCTCTGTCAGAGCCGATGACATCTTTCCTGGCTGGGAGAGGGAGGAGAGAGAGAGAGGAGGGACGAGAGACGCTTTCTTGCTCGTAGTCTCCACGGACGTCTTGCCGTTGGAGGACAGAAGGCTGATTGAAGAAGAGGATTGAGTTGACGGATCAGTTGACGTCTCTTTCATACACTGAGAGATTTTCTTGGCCAGCCGTTGAGCAACGAAATTTTCGGACTTGATTAGATTGTCCAACGACTTTTTCATGTCAGCCTGACGAACAAAATGGTTAGTCCAAGGATTAAATGCACAAGAACTTGTACTTCGTCAGCATCATCATCACCACCTCCTCCTCCTCCACCTCCTCCACACCATCATCATGATTTTCAACAACATCAACATCAACATCTCCATCCTCAACATCATCATCATCATCATCATCATCAACAACAACATTCGCATCCTCCTCATCAACAACATCAACATCAACATCATCAAGTCACCTCAGTCAGCTTCTTCTTGACTTCTTCACTCCCTTCAAGCTGCAGCACGATGTTGCAAACTTTCTCGATGACAGGGAGCGATTGTGCCTTGGCTTTCGTGAAATGTTTGTCGTACGAGCCTGCAACTCAAAATATGAGAATTGACATCAAAGCAATTGAAACCTGACTGACTGACTGACTGACTGGCTGGCTGACTGGCTGGCTGGCTGGCTGGCTGACTGACTGACTGGCTGGCTGGCTGGCTGACTGACTGACTGACTGACTGGCTGGCTGGCTGACTGACTGACTGACTGGCTGACTGGCTGACTGAGTGACTGAGCTACTGACTGACTGACTGACTGACTAGCAGACTGACTGACTGACTGACTGGCTAGGTGGCTGGGTGGCTGATATACCTGGCTTCCAGTCCATGAGTATCTTGGCAAGGAGGCGGACGACGTTGCAGTTGGCGATGACTGTATGATTATCTCGACAACTTGCAATCATCTCCAGCGAGTGCAACACGTCATACACTCTCCAGCTTATCCCGCCAAACCTCTACAGGATGGTCAGGAAAGGAGAAAGTGCGAGACAAGTCACAAGCCAACCTGCCCACTCATCGCACAATCAAGAATCTCGGCAACGATCTCGATCCTAACGGTTCTGTCATGAAGTTGTTTGAGCTTTCTTGAACACCTCACCTGTCTTGTTTCGCCTTCGCAGTATCTCCCACCAGGTTGCACAAAGTCTGCACGTCATGTCTCAGAACACAGAGTTTGACACGTTGAGCCGACAGGTCAGACTGACCAAGTTTGCAAGGTGAACGTGAGGAGGGTGGGACTCGTTGGGCTTCGGGTCGTCAGTGAGAACTGCAAAGATCACAATCAGGTAATCTTAGAAAGAGCCTGTCCGAATGTCTTCACTTCTCTTCCCGATCATGTCATTCAGCATCGACGGAAAGTCAGCCTGTGAGTTTTCAAATTTGCGAGGAAAAATCATCGAATTTCGAAAACCTTGGGTGAAAGCATCATCGATTTCCCGAGAGGACTTCTTGAGATATGATAGCAGATCTAGAACAACAACAAATCATTGGAAACATCTCCATTATCTCCTTGACTACGATGACAGCAGTTACCAAACTTTCTTTCTATGATTGTAATGACAACAGCACATCCAACAAACTCTGCTGCTGAAGATGCATCATCGCCAACAAAAACTTACAGAAGTCGCTCTTGTTTGCTCCTCGGCATCTTTCGATGAACAAAGTTTCTTCAAGCACTCAAGAAGTCCTGCATTGTTGCCAGGATCAGTCACCACCACCACCACCACCTCCTCCTCCTCCTCCTCCTCCTCCTCCTCCTCCTCCTCCTTTCTCATCATCATCATTATCTCTATCCTCAGCCACCTCCTCCATCGTCTCCATCATGACAAGAGCACCATGAGTTCGTCCCTACCCGGCTCCGAAGCAATCTTTCCACCTGCCTCTTCCCCTCCCATCCCAGCGCAGTTGTTGATCGCAAGACTGCAAAAAGGTCGTGACGTCATCGTGCAGGCATGCAAACATCTCCAAAGCTTACGCTGCGATGTCTCGAGCATTCTTGTGCATTTCTTTACTCCCATTCATACGGATCATGGAAACTGCTCCAGACAAGAAGCCTGACAGCAAGGAAAACGGCAGGTCAGAGCTCACAGCCAGGAAGACAGCAAGTGAGATCTGAGTTGTGAGCACGGCATGAAAGCTCGTTCAAGCAATGTGCAAAATCCTTCACTCTCCTCGCAATCATGATAAGACGGCACACATAGAATGGACAAGAGCATGAAACAACAAGCAGCATGAAACAGAGCCATTACCAGCCATTCCGACCACTTGGATCGCAGTTTCAGGATCGACAAAGACAACCTGCCGGCAAGGAACAATCAGGCATAAAAGGAGTCTTCAGACAGGAAGAAAGAAGAGCAACAAGGAGAGAGCATGAAAAAAGTGGCAGGAGGAGGTGTAGGAGTAGTGGGAAGAGGAGAAACATTAGGAGAAAGAGGAGGAGGAAGAGGAGGAGGAAGAGGAGGAGGAAGAGGAGGAGAAGGGTGGTAGGAGGAGAGGGGACCTGTGACAGAGCATGAATCGCGTTTATCTGCTCCTGGTTGATCCTGCCGGAGTAGTTGACTTTGCCCAGAATCTGAACCATCAGCGGAAGGAAATGCTGCGAGGCATCAGACAAGTCAGAGGACCGAACATGTCACAAGGAGGCGTCAAACACATACAAGGACGGCAAAATTTACAGATTCATCGCACAAGTCATAACCGAACATGTCACAAGAAGGAAACAAACAAGTCACATGACCGAACATGTCACAAGAAGGAATCAAACAAGTCACGTGACCGAACATGTCACATGAATCGGCAGCACCGGGATCGTCAAGAGATTCTTCTGGTTGTCTTCATTCCCGTAGGCAATCCAAAAGATTATAGAGGTGACATCAGTCAGGACTGCCAGCAAGTCATGGACAGCTCGGAAAACTTGACCTTCTCTCTCTTCTCCTCCTCCTCCACCTCCTCCTCTTCCTCACCCTCTGCATGCTCTGATCGCAGTCCGTTCACCACGGCCTCCAGGACGCTCCTTGAAATCTTTTCGGACATCTGGGAAGCATGAGACTAGCATGAGCAAGCGAGATAGATAGAGAACTTTTCTGCACACCTTGGTCCTCTCAGCAATGCCCAGCAATTCCTTGCTTGCCTTGGATGCTGAAAGAACCTCTCAAGAAAGCGCAAGAAAGTACAAGGAAGAAACATGTCATCTACCTTTTTCCTTGTCCTCATCTTGAAGATCGCGGAGCAAGTCGGCATGCTCGGAAATTCCATCGTCTCCCAGCATCTCTGTACAACCTTGCTTTGCTTCAGGCCATCTGTGTCAATCGCTGCTATCTCCTGTCTTGCTCCTAAAGCACGTACAGTCATTCCAAGCTCACACGTAGCATCACCAGTTCAGGTTCTGCACTGTTCGATCTGATTGGCTTGACAAACGCTCTGGATCTCAAAAAAACGAACTAAAAGCCCATATTCCATCTCATGCCCCTCACATCCTTCACTTCCATCGCCATCTCCCTCTTTCCTGTCCCTCCACCTCCACCTTCTGCTCCTCTTGCTCCTCTTGCTCCTCCTGTTCCTCCTGTTCCTCCTGTTCCTCCTGCCAGTCCTGCTCCTCTTGCTCCTCCTCCACCACCTCCTCCACAACTTCATCACCTCGAACTCGTGATCCTGACCAGGTCTCAACTTTCCATCTGACTCTGTTGCTCCCCTACTCTCCATCCTCCTGCTCTCCTCCTCCTCCCATCTGCTGCCATCCTCCTTATGATCCCCATCGTTCATCGCCATTGCTATCGTCGCTACGCTGCTCCGCCAATTTCCCTTCTAGATTCTCCACGGCTGCCTCGGCATTTTCTTGAAACTGCTATGACCCCACCCCACTTTGACCATGTGGGACCCCCCACCCACCCCCTTTACAGGATCCAAATGATCTTCCGGGAATCGAGTAGCAGGATTCTTTGCAGATAGGACCAATTTGTTATATATGGTGTAATGGCCTATAACTTCCTAGGACAATACGTGACAACATCACCGTTTATAACCAGACACACCCCTACCCCCCAAAATACCACCCACCCTACTCCTCCATTTGATTCATATTGAATCGGTCAAAGTACCCCACCCCGTCTGCTATTCTGGTAAAAGGACCCCCGTGACTTGCTCTCGTCCATAATAAAAAACTCTGTTTACGACTCCAGCAGGACAGGACAGGTACTCCTGCACCGACTCCGCCAGGAACGTCCCGTCTCCTCTCCCTGATCTGCTCCTCCTGCTCCTGCTCCTACTGCTCCTGCTCCTGCTCCTGCTCCTGCTCCTCCTGCTCCTTCTCCTCCTGGTATTACTCGACTTCGATTCCTTGTTCCTCCACCATAATCGACTGCCTCAGTCTGCTGTCAACTCTGATCAAACTCCTCCTTTCCGATACTGCTGATCTGATCCTTCTGGAGTGTCAGACATCTGATCATGCCAAGTACCAAAGTATCTTCTTCCTGCAATAAACACAACATTGCCCAACACAATCTGGACAAATATCCGATCTCCTGCTACCTCGCAGGGACTGGTTGACTTGCCCCGAGATCACCTCCTGTCTGCATCTGCAGAAGTTTCTTCAGGAGCATTTGAGGGCTATCGTGGCAACTCAATGGTATGGAACGAGCTTGATGAGTTTGCTATGTGGGGGGAAAATCTTTCATTGTATTCCAATGAGAGATCACGCTACACATCTCTTGACATGTTAAAAACAGGGACGATCAAAATCTCGTCATAGCCGAGTCCGAGCGGCTGCAAGAATGCACAATTACCATCACAGCTCTTCTGACTTTGCTCCGACGGGTTTTCCATCCATGTACACCTAACATGACTTGTGAGCTCGGAGAGGTCGGCTCCCACCTATCACCGTCGGTCTCTCTTGCTTTGTTGTGTCTACTCCCTCGCAAACCTTCGAATCAAAACACGATGAGTCCACGGCAGGCCTGATGTCATCATATGTGTTGTTCAACCTTTGTCTGCTTCCAGCAAATTTTGTCTATCAGGGTTTCAAGCTGCAAAATGTTTTCAGAACTTCTTCTTCATCCCAAGGAGCCGACAACAACCGAGTCGCTCTTCTGCGCAAGGATCGATTGCTCCACAGTATCCTCATGATCGCCTAGGAACACCTGAGAACAACTCAGCTGCACATGCTCCTGCACATTCTCGCTCCTCTGTCGACTACCTTGCAGGCTTGCACCATTGTCGGAGGGGGGAAGTCGTAGATACTGAACAAGTTGTAGCGTGTCATCGTGTTAGACCACAGCGTGTCAAGAACACCGGAAACTTTCCATCTTGCAGACTTCGTCCATGACTTCCATGACCTGCCGTAGAGTCACTGGTGCCGCCGTTGCTCATCTCGGCATGACCCTGCTCTCAAACCTCTTGTGGGCAGGCCCTGCCTTCTTGGCGATCTCCGTCACGGTAGCTCTGCACCCAGCACCTGCAGGAGGAGGTCAGACTCTCAGTCTGTCATGGTCATGCATCACAGATGTGTTCCTTCTCCAGCTTCTTCGGCATCCCTGGCTGCCGACATCAAGTCATTAGGAGGTTTCGTAAAGGAATTTTCACAGTAAGCAGCCAACCTCACCTCGTCCTTTCCTCACCCTTCCCTTCGCTTCCCTCTTCTTCCCTTCCCCTTCCCCTTCCCCTTCCCCTTCCCCTGCCCTGCCCTTCCCTCCCCCTTCTCGTCGACCTACGACATCACCATCACTGATTCCTCTCAAATATCCGATCCTCCTCTTGTGCACTCTGAGCTTTCATGCCTCTCCTCTCCTCTTCTTCTCTTCCCCTCTCCCACCTGTCCCATGATCATCCCCAACATCGCCAGCATGGTCAGCGCCGTTGCCACATCCTTGATCGCCATGTTCGACGCAATCGCAGTTGGCAGTGTGGCTCGGTGCTGCCTTTCAGACTCAGCTCAGGCCCGCCTCACGGGACTCGTTGGTAGTGAAACTACTTACTACTACAGTACTAGACGCTGCCTCTGGGGTCCAACAAACATGGCTGGAGGGAGGAGGGAGGAGGAGGAGGAGGAGGCTGACAGTCGACGTTGCAGTATATGAGCGTCAGGAAGCAGTGGATGGTTGTTGGGTTGGATGCCTGAGTTGTAACAAGCCACAGACGATGTTGCTGTTGCTTCGAACCCGTGAACAAGTCGACCAGATTAGTTTGTTGGCTGAAGCATTCACCATGGTCTGTTGAAACCGTTGGATGCCTGCCATGGAGAGAAGAATACAGAAGATCTCTGAAGATGTACAACAGCGTGTTAGAGGCGGATCAATCGCTCCTGACATCGGCGCCATCCTCCTCCAGCTGATATACAACTCAGTGGATGCAGGGGCAGCGATGATTGCGATAAGGGTGGATCTTGAGAACATGCTCGTCCAGGTTAGACTTTCTCGTGTGCAAGGTAGATTGTCTGAGCTTCAAGTGGTAACGAGAAAGTTCGCCAGGTGACAGATGACGGGCATGGGATCGTGTCTGCCGACATGTACAACGTTGCGAAGAGGGGATACACAAGTCGTCTGAGGGAGAAGAGTGATCTGGAGAGGAATGACTTCCAGTACTTTGGTTATCGAGGAGAAAGTCTGTCGTCCATCTCTGAGTTCTGTGAGCTGGAGATCACAAGCAGAAACATGCACGAGAAAGATTCTTTCCGCAAGGTCGCTAGTTTCACATCAATACATTTCGTGTTGGCACCTGAACTTGTTCGCGCAGGTTATGAAAGGAGGGAAAGCTGTGTCGTTTTCAAGTCTTGTGGGTTCAGGGCCTGTTGGAACAAGTGTAGTCTGCCGTGATCTCTTCTACAATCGTCCAGTAGCACGAAAGATCATAAGCAAGCAGATTGCAGACATGTACACGATGAAATCACGCCGGGTTGTCATCATAGAAAACTTGTCTTCACTCATCCGATCATCGACAGTTGCACACCCGGCGATCTCATTCTCTCTGCACTTCTCCCCCAACTTGCAACCTGACTTGGATCTCCCGAGGAGCCGCGATGTGCTGAGCTTGCAGAGGGTTGGGAAAGCCTTTCCCCCTCACGAGATGTTCAGGTTCACGACAAGGCATGCGAGCTTCTCTCTAGATGTTTTCTTTGGTTCCCCTTGGATGAACAGTCTTCCTCGCAGCAAAGACTTCCAGCTCGTGTTCTTCAACAGGAGGTTCAGCTCAAGAAACCCAGTTCACAAGCATGTCAACCAACTGTATAAGACGTGTTGGAACTCATTTCACCCAATTGCTGCTCTTGAGAACACCCACGTTCGAGAATTCTTCAAGTTTTTCCCGCAGAGGAAGAAGAGGAGAGCAGAAGACAACTCGGCAGTGGCTCCATGCAAGAGATATCCTGTCTTCGTGGTCGACATCCAGTGTAGCCCTTTGGATTGTTCGTTTGCAGACTGCGATCATGGAGCATTTGTGGAGTTTGCACACTGGGAAGAAGCGTTCAAGTGCTTGGAGAGTCTGTTCAAAGAGTTGTGTGAGAAAGTAAAGACAATGGACAATCAGACGTCGAATGTTGAGATGAATGAAAACCAACCCCGCAATCTTGCTCCATCTGTCAAAGCCAACGATGATGCGGAAACAAAGTTGTTAGAGAGGTAAGGACGTGGACGTCTCTTGAAGTTTGCTCAAACGTGTACAGGATTGAGAAGCTTTCATATCGCAACGTCAACACCAGCTGCCTTGAAGGTGAAGACAACGTGTGACTCTGTTGCGAATCTCAATCTTAGTCTCTTGTTGAAGGCGAAAGTTCGAAGCGAAAGGACGTACAACAGTACAGGAGAGGTACTGCCCATTTACTTTCTCTCGTGCTGCCGTTTTATCTTGATAACATGACTGTTTACAAACAGAGTCATCGACATCGCTGACTCGGCAAGTGGAGACAGAGCTTGTCGATCAGAGCGAGCTTGACCTTATCGAAATCGCTCTTCAAACTGCACATCTTGCAAAGAAAGGAAATGCTGCACTGAGCAGTACCAAGGGGGGGCGGTTGGCGACGGCGAAAGCTCCTGCCATGTCTGGTTTTCAGTTCGACATCGCGGCGTCTCAATGGAGAGTTTTGTCTACTCCACAGGGAGATGAAGGAGGAATAAGTTTGTCTTCATCGAGGACTCTTCCTTCTTCTCGAACCAGCCAGGTGTGTTTGTTGGACCTCCTTGTAAATACTTGGTTCATCTCTGAAGTGACGATGCTGCCTTGTTTGTGTTCTCATGACAACCCGAAGCAACCTGTTTGCTGCTCCCTCCGTCCCCTGCACTCTTCTTCTTTATCTCACAATCTTGCGCGTCTCTCACGGTCTGAACCTCACTTCAACTTCTGCAGAACTTCTCTTCGCGTCCCAGTGAAACTTCCAAGACCAGGAGCTCTCAAGACCTCCTTGAAGAGTTCGAGAAGTTCTCGAGGAAGAGGAGCCGACTGAGCATGGAGGGGGAAAAGTCAGGAAGCCGGTCAGAAGGAGGACATGTGGGGGGGAGACGAAAGGATGCGGATGAAGGGGAGGGCGCAAGTTTGCATGATGAAGGGACAACTGCTTCACGGGGTCGAAGTTACAAATCTGAGATCATCAGCATCGACAACTGGGATGCTTCTGCCAAGATGAAGTTTGCTCTGACAAGAGACTGGTTGAGGTTAGTGATGATGATGATGAGAACGAGGAGGATCTGAGAGCGGGAGGAGGAAAATGATGATGGCGCTGAGTGGGGGCAGGAAAGGGAAGTGCAGGAAGAGAAAGACAATGAAGAGGACGAGAATGAGCACGAGGGTGACGATTAGGCAGAGGGGGAAGAGATGGTGGTGGTGGTGGAGCAAACGGAGGAGCAGGAGGAGCAGGAGGAGCAGGAGGAGCAGGAGGAGCAGGAGGAGCAGGAGGAGCAGGAGAAGGACGTGGAGCGGCAGCGGAGGGAAGGGGGGGGGGGGGGGGGGGAATGAGAAGGGAGATAGATGTAGTCCAACGCCTCACATGAGACATGAACCGAGATCTACTTGCTCATCGTATTATCATCTACCTGAAGTTCTTGCACTGAACCTCTCCCAGACTGTCCCCCATGACATTCCTGAAGCCTCCACGAAGCCTCAAGGGCAAAGCAGCAGTCTGGTGGTGCTGGTGGTGCTGGTGGTGCTGGTTGAGAGGGAGGAGAAGTTGACGGGGGTGGGGATAGGAGGTCTCGATCTCGATGACAAGGAGGAGGAAGAGTGAGAGGAGGGCAAGTAGAAGGCAACGGGTTGCGCTCCTGCTGAGAGAGTGGTCGTGGATGCTCATTGCAGACATCGTCATCCTCTCCTCTGACTTGCTGGCCTTGTCACAGAGCTCTCTCACTTGACGGCAGACGAGGTGTCTGGAGGCCATACGTCATTGAAAAGGAAGGAGAAAATATCATTGTCCGTCTTTCACTCGGTTCAGGCCACAATGCTCGCGTGTATTGATGCACTCATTCAGATGTCTTCTGTCTTGTCTTTCTTGCTGCTTCTGTGACCTCCTCTTACTTGTACTCTACTTCTATTCCTAACCCTGCTCCTGCTCCTCCTCCTGCTTCTCCTGCTTCTCCTGCTTCTCCTGCTTCTCCTGCTCCTCCTGCTCCTCCTGCTCCTCCTGCTGCTGCTGCTGCTGCTGCTGCTGCTGCTAGTCCTCCTCTTGCTCCCTGCATCTGCTTGTACCTTCCTGATCACAAACTAGAATAGCTGAAAGACTTTGCGTGACCAATAAAAATAAATGAGCTAAATTATTTGCAAGGATCTCAGTGGATACACAACCCCTACTGAGGCCTGTGATTTTACAAGAGGGGTAGGGTCATGTACCCCACCCTCAGTCTTGCTGATCCCTAGGTGGGTAGGGCAAATGATGGAAAACATTGAGGCGGGTTGGGCGGGAAGGGACCCCGGACGGGTGGTATAGTGCAAGGAATTGTTTTTCGTATATTGAATATGGGTAGGGTAGTTAACCCCACCTATATCTAGACTTGATTGTTTTGGTTATTTTAACGGGTATTAAGAGTCAAGTACGTCCAAGGGGGTAGGGTATGTTCAGGGGTGGGGTGGCTAGAGGAGACATTGAGCCCTTCAAGATTCAAAATAGTGAAGTTCAGCAAAGAACTAGTTTCAGAGATCATTTCGAAGAATTTGCTTAATGTTTCAAAATAAATAAATTGTATTGAACAAAATTTTCCGAAATTTATTGAAATGAAACCCCCAGTGGAAAACAGGTTGTCCCAGCGCGGCACCGTTACGCCATGGCAGGCGAGGTAAGAGGAGAATTCGTTGCAGAAGGAGCAGGAGGAGGAGGGTGTCTTGGTGTATCCAACCTGTTTCTTCCCTTGTTTGTCTGCTCTCTCCCTGTTCTCTTCAGCATTTACATATGCTTCGCATTGTTTTCTTGTGGAAAACCTTTTCCCCTTCAAGTTCTGTGTTGCTGACATAGCCATATCCTTTCCTTCTCCTTGCCAACTCCTCGCCTCACAACCGCCCTACCGAATCGACATTGTCCATCTTCAAATGATGTGCTCCATGCTGATTTCGTTGCCGTGTGCTACTCCTCTCACAAGCTCCTTGGCCTCTCCTCCTCCACCTCGACTACTGTTCTTGTCCCGCCTTGCCAACGATTCCTCCGCATACACATCCTCCTGCTACATGCTCCCTCCCTTCCTGTGTCTTCAAAGCTGAAGCATGGATCCCCAAGCAGCGAATGATGCTGATTTCTTGTTTTCCCCGAAGTTTCAATATCCATCCCTATTTTGCCTTGTGGTGAAGGACCAGAAAAACACTAATGAATCGACTCATCCATCCTGTTTATTCGTGTTTCCTTTAGTTCCTGTTGTAACTTCGTTCCTATCATTTTCTGCTCTCCTGAATGTTGTGCTGACTTCCTCTTGTCAGGACGGAGGTAAGGGAGGAAAGGGAGGAAAAGGAGGAAAAGGAACAGCCTCAGACAAGAAGAAACGCGCGCCGCAGTCACGATCATCTCGTGCTGGCTTGCAGGTAATGCTATTAGAGGAGAAGAGATTTTTTGTTGTCATTGTATGACAAGAGATTTTTTCTGTGATGAAATGAGAAAAATCGTCTTTGTCATGAGATGAGATGTTTGCAGTTGTGAGAGGAGAAGGTATCTCATTAAATATGTTGATAGAGATGACGAAAGATAATGAGATGTTTTGATGGTGAAATTTGACATGAGATGGTGAGATGATGTTTTAACGATGTCTTTGGTTGTACCTCGTGCTGTTTCTCATCCACCAGCTTATTCTATTGTGTCAGTTTCCCGTTGGTCGTATCCACAGACATCTCAAGACGCGCATCGCTCGTCATGGCCGTGTGGGAGCGACTTCAGCTGTGTACATGGCAGCCATCTGCGAGTATCTCTGCGCTGAGGTGACCATCCTTCCTCCTCGTCTCAATCCTCCTCCACAACCACTCATCTCATTCCTCCTCCTCGTCCACGACGACCACCACCTCATCCTCCATGCCTGCATGCCTCTTTCTCCGTGTGTCTGCCATCTGCCCTCGTCACGTGCTCGCACACTTCCTCCTCGGCCCTCACCATCACCTCTCTCACTCTCCATTCAGGTGCTGGAGCTCGCAGGAAACGCTTCCCGTGACTTGCGCGTGAAACGTATCACTCCTCGCCATCTTCAGCTGGCCATTCGCGGAGATGAAGAGTTGGATACTCTGATCAAGGCCACCATCGCTGGTAACTCTCCTTCTTCTTCCTCTTCCTCCCCTTCTACACTCTGCTCTGCTCCTCCCCTGCCCTCTGCTCACCTCTCCACTCCTCTCCTCTCCTGCATGATCGCTTTCCCGTTCATGCTGTCTGTACTGCCTTCTCTGCCTTGCTCAAGACAGCAGCTGACGAGCGAGCAGGCGGAGGAGTCATCCCCCACATTCACAAGTCCCTCATCAACAAGGGGCCCAAGGCGAAGAAGTCAAAGGCCACCAAGGCCCCTTAAAGTCCGGTCGAGTCACACGATGTCACTTCTGCCTCAAGCTGCAGACGGTGGACGTTCCTAGCTCGCCCTATCTGGCGTCACTCTGGTGGATGTGGAGTGTGGTGGAGATCAGGATGCAAGGAAGCGGGAGGAATGTTCTTGTTGAGCAAATGAAAGTTGAGAGTAGGAGAGAAGAGAAGCAACAAGTTTATCTACATAATCTCATCGAGAAACAATAGACTGAGTGACCTTCTCATGCCCAATCTCCCGCGCTCGGCCCCCATGCACTGCCGTCGACCTGTAGCAGAGGTCACGTGACTTGAAACTTCATCACAAGATACGATATGAATGTCAGGAAACTCGTCATGCAAATACTTTGACTGAACAACCTCATCCACTTTTGGCTATTTCTTTCTCAAATCCTCTAACCCTCACTTGCGTCTGTCCTCTCTTCTCTCTCTTTCTCTCCTCTCTCACCTGGAAGTCACCATCCGCATCATTCCACGTGTTGTCGGCCAAAGACTGCATGCGAGCTTCCTTGGCCTGCTGCTTGCCAAGTCAGCACGAGGCATCATAGAGGGTCGGGAGCATGCAGAGAAGACGAGAGAACTAGTGAGAGGAAACGAGTGGTGGGGCTGGAAGGAGGTAGAATCGAGGGCAAGGTCGAGGAAAGAGGACGACGAGAACAAGGACGGGGACGAGGACGAGGGCGGGGATACCATAGTCTTGTGCGAAAGCTTCTTCTGAGTTTGCGGCTTGACAGCACGAGGGGCTTGCTTGACAAGCTTCTCCTCGGTCTTCACTCCAGCGGAGAAGCTGCAGGGGGGGGGAGGTCAGGGACAAGCTCAGAAGCTCCTCGACTCACCCCCGCTGATACGCCTGTGCGATCTCATCCGCCAACTTCACTGAGTCAGTCGTCCCCGCCCTGTCGCGCGCACACAAGTCAAGACGCGTCGCAGAATGAGAGTCTTGCTGCTCACTTGCTCTTGGGTGATGCTTGCAATGCTCTGGCGTGACTCTGCTGACGGCTCGACCTCCTAGTTGAGGTTGACCTGCACGCCTGTCAGCAGGTTCGCACGAGTGCCAGCGCAAGTCACGTCAAGTGATCGGAGCTGGACGGACGAGAGATCTGCACAACCAGCATGAGGGAGACAAAAAGAGTTGAGGGCGATCCCGTCTCTTACCCAGTCTGAGGAGATCGCGCCGTACTCCTTGAACTAATCAACAAGTCAGGTCACTGACGACGTGGACATCATCGCTGGAAACTCGTCCAAGATGATTCCATCCATGTCGCGTACCTCAGCGTCAGCCCCTTCATCCGCAAGCTTCTCCTCCTCCTTGTGCTCCTTCTCGATCTCGGCTTCTCGCTTCTCCTCCTGTTTCCCAGCTCAGCACCATCACTAGCGCAGGAACTTGAGCCTGACCTGTCTCTCTCTACGTGCAAACCTGTCATGCTCATACTTCATGGTGTCATGATGGAGTTTCGTAACGGCCCTGCCCATGAGTCAGACCACAGACCCTTCATCCTATTCTCCCTCCTTCCGCCCCTCCGACCATCCCCATCCCATCCCATCCCATCCCATCCCATCTCTCCCCTCCTCCTCCCCTCCCTCACATTCTGGCAGCTGCAAGTCTGGCAGGGCGTGGGCTCTTGGTCTGCCGGCATCCTCGTCATCGTCTCCTCCCCCGCCTCCTCCTCTCACCTGAGCGTGACCAGCTGCTGCCTTAGGAGGCTCCGCCAGCTTCGCAGCCTGTGGCTCCACCGGCTTCACCGGCTTCACCTCATGTGGGGCGCTCGTTCGAGCAAGATGCTGCCGATGTTGTTGATGATGATGGCGAGATCGGGCGAAACTGTCTTGGGCCCAGTCCCATGCCGACTGCACCGGCGTCTCCTTCCTCTCGTCCACGGGAGCACCTCCCATGGGCTGCCCCCCTGAGCTTCGAAGGATAGGATGCGACGTCCTCTTTACTGCTTCCTGAGCCCAGCTCCATGCCTGCGTGTCCTCCCTGGCCTTGTCCTCACGAGCTGCTGAGGTTCTGGGGACGGGAGAATCGGCCTGATCCACCTGAGCAAGGAGCTGCTCCCTTGCTCGCGGGAGGACCTGCTTGTTCTCTCGCGATGTACTGTCGCTTGAAATGGAGTTGGCAAAGCTATAGACATCGTTCTCTTGGCTGCGAGACTCCGGAACCATGGAAGTGTATCCGTTGTGATCGTTAGAGTACCTCCTGGTTGCTATCGAGCGGACAAGAGAAGTTCTGTCGCTATCCTCAGCCATTGATGATCCTCGCTGAAGAAGCTGCTGCGCCCATGCCTGCGCAGACCTTGATCCTCTGCGCACCCGCAAGTCAGAGAACATGATGGGGCAAACCAGGGCGGGACACAACCTGGCATGAGCGAAGGAACGGTGATGCAGGTGCCAGTCTTGGCGAGGGTGATGACGAGCTGAATCATAAGGAGGGTCAGGGCAGGACAGGCATGTCGCATGATGGTATAAGACACAAGTCATCGGGCAACAGGCAGCGAGAGGGTAGGGTCAAATCGTACCTTCTCTCCTCGACATCTCGGTCAACCTTCCAGTGTGGGGGGTCCACTGGAGCAGCTGCTCCTGATCCCCCTCACTATCTCTTCCTGTCGCTCTCATAACCACCACAAACGCCACCATCACGACCGCGGCTCCTGCCGCTATCACCCCCCTCGCCATGGCCGAACGAAGGGACAAGGTTGTAAAAGCAAATTTTAAAACGTGAAAAGTTTGAAATTATCCTCAATGATTTGAAGTTTGGAGCATTTCCAGCTTTCCACGGAATCGAACTGAATCTGGCCCGGCGGGGCCTGTCGGAATCGGTCCAGCGGCCGGGCGGCCCGGCCCGGGAATTGCGGCACGGAGGCTTTCAGTACCGCCGGTTCTCCGGTAGCCTAGTAGCTTGTCCTGCCGTGACTCCGGAGTCCCGTCACCGCAGCACCGCGTCCGTGACCGTACGGTCGGGCCGCGTCAGATCCGGGTGACTTCCAGCAGTGGACATTTGAAAGTTCGGGGCCCCGTGGGTGAGTTGCATTGAATGATTTCAAGTTTCAAGTTTGCCAGGCGGCCGCGCCGGGCCCGGGCCCACGGTGGCCGTAGTTGCTTGCGACCGCCCGCTAGTACTGGCTGAGTATCAGATCCGACCGCGGGGCCGGGCGCCCAGGCCCAGCCCGGCCTGACCGACTGAACTTGAAATAACTATGAAAAGGTGGGTACATGGTTGCCAAAGTCTCACCCCCCACCCCCCCCGTTAAAATGGCTCGCAATCAGTAAAAACAAATGACAAGCATCTTCAACTGCTCAAGATGACACAACGAGCGGTCGGAGTAGAGGAGGGGGGGAGAAGAAAGGAGAGAAGGGAGAGAGAACATGACGAGGGGAAGAAGAGAAGAGGGAGAGAGGAAGAGAGGTCAGAGTTGAAGACTGAGATATACAATGGAACACTTGCGGCGAGAGCAAATGAAGACGAAGAGGGAGAGTAAAAAAGGCAGCAAAAAGGGATAGAGGGGAAAGAGAAAGCTGGGAGAGGATGGCAAGAAACGTTGGAGAGACAGAGACAGAGAGAACAAGTCACAGGCAGGCAGGCAGGCAGGCAGGCAGGCAGGCAGGCAGGCAGGCAGACAGACAGACACTAGTTTGCTCTCCTGTGTTTCCTGTGTCCGATGAGCCTCTTCTCTCTCTGCAACCTGTCGCTGACTCCTGCAGGCTCGCTAAGATGTCAACGTACCTCGACATCCGAGGGCTCAAGTTCCCCGGGTGAGCAGCGCACTCAAAGCCCTCCTCCTTCCCTCCCTTTTCCTCCTTCTCTCTTCCTCCTTCCCTCCTTCATTCCCTCCCTTCTCTTCTTCTCTCCCTCCTCTCCCTCTCGCCCTCCCTCTCATTTTCTTTCTTCTTTCTCTCCTTCTTCTCCTTTCTCTCCTTTTCCTCCTTTCCCTCCTCTTTCTCTCTATCTCCTTTCTCCCTCCCTCCCTCCCTCTTGACTTAGAACCGACAGACCCTCCCGCTTTTCGCAGCCAGATCAGCACATCTTCAAGTAGACCTGCAACTTTGCATGACTTCTCTTGACCCCTTATCTAAGGCCCCAGCACTGGATCTCCCCGCGAAGAGCTCACGAGATGAAGGAGGAGCTTGCCAGGTAGAGGTAAAGTTGCAGCTGCGGTCGAGTGATGATGCTGGAAGGTGCAAAGCTCAGGGGAAGGACTTATGGTCGAAGGAGTGGAAGAATGTCCCGACCACCTTCAACGTCAGGTCCAACACGTCGAGGTCCTATCAAACCTTTGAAGTCCGGGGTGTGAAGATGTCAAGGTTGTCGCTGAATGTGAGTTGAGCGCAAAGAGTTTCTCCTGTACATGATTGCGCATATTTCCTCTGTACTTTCATGTTGGTGATCTCATTGCCTGCAGAAATTGAGGCCCAGCACGACGGCTTCATCAGCAAGATATCGTAGCGACAGCATGTACTCTTCATGCGAGTATGATGGAGTGAACAGGTCAGACATTAAGAGTGCTTGAGGCGCCTCAAACCGATCGGGACAAAGAGGTAGAGAGAGCTGGGAGAAGTCAAATGAAACATGACGACTTTGAAGATGTTCTACCAATCTCCTAGAAATTTCTTGACGAGGCAACCAAGAGATTGTTGGAGGGAGAATGCAAATGAGTCCAGCGGCAGGAGATACAAGACTTCTATGGCAACGTACATCACATACACCGATGACTCGCGGAGGCCTGTCTCTGTACTCCATTACCTCATCTCCTCACCTTTCTCACAGTTCGCCGGCCCATCGAACGCCAACCTCTGTGATGAAAGTATGCGTTGATCAATATTGCAAGGGGAGTCATTCTCCCTTCGCAAGACCAGCTCAAATCAGGTCTGTGCAACATTTCATTCTGTCTGATATGACTGAACCCCGCGACAAGTTCTCCAAGATCACCTGAGATCCTACATCTCGACGTAAAACTCCGTCTCTGAGATGTCGAGCTTGTGATCGTTGGTGGACAGGAGGGATCGGAATCTGATAGGAGGAGTGAGGGAATGAGCGAGACAGCGAATTCTCCCCACGAATTCAAACGATATCGAGGCTTGTTTTCCCTCTACATTTGTATTCTGCACCTGACGATTTGAAATCAGCGGAAAACTTCACCACAGCAGGATCCATGTCTGCCGGATTCAGGCCGTTAAGGTAGTTGTTTTTGCAAACGATGAATGTGATGCAAACCATGAGATGACAATGGATGATGCTATGATGATGAAAAAAGTTCAGGCGATGGTGATATTGATGATTGATTCCGTAATCGAGCAATGACGACGTTTGGTCAACAACATCATGACTCTGTTAACGATTATCATCTTCATTCTGGTGTTAAAGAGGACTCGGAAGCTAATGCTTGATTTCAGTGCAAGAAGTCTGTGCAGCCCTCGGCGAACTGTATCGAACTCCTTCCTGTTTGACAAGCTCTCATGTTGAATTCAGTTGGCTGCCTCCTCCCCTGCAGGAACTCAGCTGAGCCTCATGCTGGAAGGCGTGGATGTACTTGTCTTGTTCTGTTCTTTGCTCTCAGCTTACACAAATTCTAGAAAGAGCGATCGTCAAGCATAAGTTCCATGTACAGATTCTCTCGTGATGGCAGCGGCGAGTGGAGGGAACCTATCGGGATGATTGTATCTGACATGCGCTCCCTTGCAGAGAAGAAGTTGTCAAGAAGGACAAGCCTGAGAGCAATAAGACAATCTTCCATTCTCGAGGTCTTTACATCTGATGCACTTCACCAAAGACATCTGACTTGCTCCCGATGTATAGAAGCTTCGTCCGCTCGAGGAGCGTCAGCAAGGATCTTGGAGATCGTCACATAGAGATCTTGACAAGATTACATTTGTACAGCAGACTTCCATGTCAAGTGAGGACTCCTTGCTCTTAGTGCATGTGCTGACTGCAGTGAAGAGCTCGGGCACCTGGTGGATTCAACTCCTTACAACTACAAGGTTGTGTGGACATGTACATTTATGCTGCCGACACGCTAATAACCTCAAAACCAGGTCCGTTTGCAATTAGACAAGTAGGCCTGCAGGAGAAACATCAGATTAGTATATCAATGAAGATGTGTCATAGATACGTGATGGTGTATGTGGCTGTATTTGGAGAAAGAAACGTAAATTTCCTGCAGCATGCAGATACCTTGTTGCACGTTTCGTTTGCAATCTCAACGATCCGAGGCGGAGAAGGAAAGTCAGACGTGTAAGTCCAGCAAGCGGTAGCAACAAGGAGGACAGGACCGTCAGCAACCATTTGAATCGCTCGTTCCATCTTCATTTTACGGTGGTATCAGCTGTACCCAACCTGATTTATCCTATATCCCCTTGCCAGGACTCATGTGGTAGGGAGACTAGGCCAGCACTTGGCTGGACTGACACGAGCATACCCATCGTCCAACGATGGGTACAGGGGGAACCTCTCTTGTATCTGATCAGTATCTATTCCTTTGTTCTTGTTGTTCGAGTTTTGTTCACGTTGACATGAATAGAGTTGAAACCTGGCAGCGTCCGCCGAGTCCTCAGCCTTCAGTTGACTGGCCCGGCGCCGCCTGTGGGTGCTGAGTCCCAGCCTGGACACGAAGATCTGACCACTGAAAGTCAACTTGAAATCGTCTCCTTTCATCGCGGCGGTCTCCAAGGCTTTCTCCGTCGGAGCGTCGGAGCGAGTTTTTGGTTTTAACACACCCGAAGCTAAACAGCCTCAGTTCGCCTCGGATGAGGAGGTTTGCTCGAAAACTAGTCTTTTCGCCTTCACCGACTCTTTTACTAGCCACCTTGGGACCTTCCTATGACCTGAGACTATAGGTGAATTTTCCCCAAGTCACCTGACCACTGAGCGAATCGTCCTTTCCCTGCCCATCCTCCTACTAGCTTCTCCCTGCAGAGACCCGACCCCTCTTTGATCATACTCCTAGGGCTGAATCATGCCCCAGATACCCGCTTTTCTGAAAGCCCTCTCCCTCCTCCGCCTCTCCCCCGATGACCTCTCCGTCTACCTCGCCCCCGACCTCGACCTCCTCGACCCCCTCGACTCCCCCGACCTCCCCGCCATGCCCCTCTGGGACCAGCTCACCTCCTGGCCCGACGACGACGGGCAGCCTCCCTCCTTGACCTTCGCCAGCATCGCGCGAGCCAGCGAGGGCGAGGGCGAGGGCGAGGCCGGGAGGGCGGGGGCGCGGGGGAAGGGGAGGTACGCGCGGGAGGCCTGCCAGTTCTGCCGGCAGCGGAAGCTCAAGTGCGACGAGCGTCGGCCATGCGGGCAGTGCGTGCACTTGAAGACGGAGTGCGTGAGTCAGGCAGGGCAGCGGAGGGGGCGGAAGCCGAGGAGACGAGGAGGGACGGGGGCAGAGCCAACGACGGATGCGAGGGGGCAAGCCGGCGGCTGGATAGAGGGAAGCGAGGAGCTGACCGAGATAGCGGAGGGCTTCTTGGTATAGCCTGGCCGTGTTTCGACGTGCCGATGCGGACAAGCTGAGGACAAAGCGGCGGAGGACGAGGAGAGCTTGATAGACAGATAGTCTACAATCAGCGTGTATGAGTAAAGGGTCTTGTGCTTGTCTCGGGGAGGGGAGGGGAGGCCCCAGACACCGGTGTAGCGCGCTGAGAGAGCGTGCGGTGGCTTGCGGGCAGCAGGCAAGCAGGGAAGCAAGGGCGGAGGTTGCTGGCGGGCGTATGTGAGCTGTCAGTGAGTGTGTGAGGGCGAGCCTGGAGCTGCAGAAGACCGCGGGCATGCCGTGAATGAGGCGCGCTTGGGTGGTGTTGATCATGAACAACAGAGTATGGTGTTGATTTGCATCTCCTCAAGGAGCATGCCTGGTCAGTGAGAAGAGCACTCTATCTAGAGGATCCGAGGGTTGAGAGCAAGGTCGGTGCTTGGCATGGTTGACGCTCTTCTTCATTGGTGCTACCATGCCACGTTTATCACCACATACTGCAGATATATAAAGAATAATCGCCTCGCCTGCTTTATGATGGCTACACGACTGAGATGCTCAGGGATGAGGGTGTTTGATACCTAGCTTCGACCCAGCTCATATTGACCCTTAAGAACACAAGGCCAGTGGAAAGACATAAGCAAACCAGGCAGCTCTCGCCCAGAGCCCTCAGCTTCCGCCTCCTCCGCTGCAACTTGTCCGACTTGAGTTTGCGCTCTCGGCAGAGCTGGCCTGTCTGCCGCGCGTGTTTGCAGGGGGGCTAGCAAGCTGGAGAGGTCATCGGGGGAGAGGCGGCGGAGAAGGAAGAGGGCGTGGAGGAAGGGCAAGGAGGTCGGGAAGGAGGAGTAGGGGAGAAAGGCAGGAATCTGCGGATGGAAGCTGAAACAGAGATAGATGGGAGGACCAGAAGTACTGAAGATGCTGGATCGGCAGGAGGAGGAGGAGGAGGAGATGGAGCATTAGGAGAGGCAGGGTTAAGAGCAGGAGCAGGGTCAGGGTCAGGGGCTGGGTCAGGAGCAGGGGCAGGGGCAGGAGAAGAGAGATGAAAAAGGGGCAGCAGCAGGGGGAGAAGAAGGGGCAGGAGCAGGAGCAGGAGCAGGAGCAGGAGCAGGAGCAGGGGCAGGGGCAGGAGCAGGGGCAGGAATGGAAGCAGGAGCAGGATCCGGTCGCTATAGAAATGGTCAGGCAAGGGGAAACGGGCACCCATGGGGCATAAAAACATTTCATTGTTTTGAAATCGCTTCTTTTCGCCTCGGCGGCATTGTCATTCTAGAAGCTTTCTCGAAATCGCTTTCCTTCGTCTCGGCTGCTGATCGATCCTGCTTTACAAAGAACCAGCTCGTCGTGGCCCCTACGGACATAGCCGAGGACACATTACCTTACGGCATCCGAGTCGAAACGACTCTTATTCGTATCGGATATCGATACATGTCAAAAAAAAAGAAGCAAAGCAGTCACTGCCTGCTTATCGCCCCTTCCTCTTCTCTGCTCAACGCGATCTTTGCTGACAGGTCACAAGCACCACGCAAGCTTCCAGACCTGCTGTCATGACCATCATACTTCATACCAGCCCCTTCCTCCTGTACACCCTCGACCCTTCATTGCAGCCCTCTGACCTCCCTGTCTTTCCTTCTCCCTTCCTCCACGCCCTCTCCCTCCTCCGCCTCTCCCCCGATGACCTCTCCGTCTACCTCGCCCCCGACCTCGACCTCCTCGACCCCCTCGACTCCCCCGACCTCCCCGCCATGCCCCTCTGGGACCAGCTCACCTCCTGGCCCGACGACGACCAGCTCCTGACCCCCTTGTCCTTCGCCGACGCCGTCGCAGCCGGCAAGGCCGAGGGCGAGGCCGGGAGGGCGGGGGCGCGGGGGAAGGGGAGGTACGCGCGGGAGGCCTGCCAGTTCTGCCGGCAGCGGAAGCTCAAGTGCGACGAGCGGCGGCCGTGCGGGCAGTGCGTGCACTTCAGGACGGAGTGTGTGAGTCAGGCAGGGCAGCGGAGGGGGCGGAAGCCAAGGGCACGGGAAGGAACGGGGGCCGAGGTGACAACCATGGCGACTTTTATTATCGAAAGTTCATCCGCAACTTCTCGACAATAGCAGCCCCTCTGACTGACCTTCTCCGCAAGGGCGCTCAGTTTCAGTGGACTGCAGCATGAAGCAAGCTTTGACGTCTCAGCCCCTCCTGCATCACTTCGACCCGTCCCTTCCGACCGAAGTGCATTGCGACGCATCCAACGTGGGTATAGGAGGTGTACTCTTACAGCAGCTTCCCAACGCCCCCGCCCGCGTCATTGGCTACCACGCGACCGAACGAGAGTAACTTGCAATCAAGGATACCATCCTTTTCTTCAAGTTCTACTTGATAGGGACTCCATTCAAGGTCTTTACTGATCATCAAGCTCTCACGTATTTCCAGACACAGAAAGACATCAACAGCAGATTGATTCGTTGGCTTCAAACGCTCAGCGAGTTTGCAATCACCGAGTACTGTTACGTCAAAGGTTCTCAGAACGTCGTCCCCGACGCTAAGGCTCAGCCGTCAAGATGAAGTTCCCCTCTCGACTGCAGTCGCTCCTCATCACGAGCAACTCTCTCGCCAAGAGGACGGCTTCTTGCTCGCCTTCACCGTCAGCGCCTTGCAGCCTTTGCCCGACCAGATTCAAGCCGCCTATGAGACGTGCGACTTTTGTCGTCCTCTTATCCAACGTCTCCGCGCCAAGTCTTCTGTAACTTCTTTTCATCTGCATGATGAGCTTCTGTTTTATACAGATTCGTTGCGCCGCATTCGCCTGTGCATTCCGCAAGCATTGCGTCGAGAAGTTCTCTTTCGCGCCCACGACCTTCAGTCCCACCTCGGGTTTTCAAGAACCTACCTTCAGCTAGCAGCAACCGTTCATTGGCCCCAGCTTCGGAAAGACCTCGAGCTCTACATCCTGTCATGCCAGCATTGTCTTCAAGGGAAATCTTATCGCCAACGACCTATGGGTACTCCTCATTCCCATGCCGTTCCCTCGACACGCTTCGAAGTCGTCAGCCTCGACTTGCTGACCGGGCTCCCACGAACTCGAGATAAGAACGATGCAATTCTTCTTTTCATGGACGAGTTCACAGGGCGAGTTTATCTCACCCCCTGCCGTAAATCGATTACTTCTGAACAAGCTGCTCAAAAATTCATCGAAACCGTGTTTCGATCCCAAGGCCTTCTCAAGTCCTTATCAGCGACAACGCTGTCATCTTTTCGTCCAGATTCTGGAACGCGCTCAGGCTTCAAGATGCTCAACGTTCACGTGAAGCATTCGTCGCCTTTTATGCCTCAAAGCAACGGTCGACCCGAGCGTATGAACTCCGTCGTCCTCGAAGCTCTTCGTATCTACACCACGCAGTATCCTCGAGCCGATTGGGATAGGTACCTCCCCATCCTGGAAACTCACCTCGACTCAGCTGTTCGCCGTCCCATCGGTGCCATCCCTTTCGAAGTCATGTTCGGCAAACCTATCAGGACACAACTTTCTCTGCCTTCACCTGACGATCATCAGGACGAGACCCTCGACTCCATTCGTGAAGCAACCGAAGTCAGCGCCGAAGCTGCCCGAGCTGCTCTCGAAGCTGCAGCGCGTGCCACCGAAGCTCGCCTTGCGCAAGTCCGTCGTCCCTGCCGCTATCAAGTTGGAGATCTGGTTTGGCTCTCAACCGCCAACCTCAACATCCCCGACGCCGCCTCGAAGCTCAACCCTCGCTTCGTTGGTCCCTTCCGCATCCTGCCACCGGAAATTGTTTCAGACAACACCGTTCGTCTCGACGTCTCTCCTCGCTTCGCATCGATCAGAAACACCGTCATCAACATCAAGTGGCTTTGTCCGCATACAGAGCGCGACCCTGCCTATCAAGATCCCCAGCGACCACCCGAACCTCTGGCCACCAGAGACGGCTTGGAATACGAGATTGAGAGCATTCTCAGCAAACGTCGTCGCGGTCGAGGTATTCAGTACCTTGTTAAGTGGACAGGCTATGATCAAGTCAAACAATTGGCTTCCTGCTCGTGAATTGCAGCAGAAATCTTCGCGAACTCATCCGTCAATTCAAAGAACGTGAAGCTCTTCAAGCTTTACCCTCCAACGCCTTGGACTCCTCCGACTCGTCTGAAGTGGAACTTCAAATCCTGTCGTTCATCTCCTCATGGTAAGAGCGAAGGACAAAGTGGTACTAAGTTGTCAAGCGCAGATGGAGCGATGTTGTATCCATGAGGATCCGGAATCACGGATACTCGTCGGATACTCTGCCGGATATTCTCTATTTAACCGGACGCTTCCTGAGCGCCCGGCCTCTTGATTTTCCCCCACTTGCATGCACAGTGAGTGTGGTGGTTGTGCGTAGTTTACATCTCAGTAAACTTAGAGACTTCTATCTTCTGCATCTCTATCTTCTTCATCCTTACTTTGCTCGTGTCGTTGACAATCTCTGTGTTGTGTATACAACACTGCTGCTGCTGCTGCTGCTGCGGATTCCTGCCTTTCTCCCCTTCTCCTCCTTCCCGACCTCCTTGCCCTTCCTCCACGCCCTCTTCCTTCTCCGCCTCTCCCCCGATGACCTCTCCAGCTTGCTAGCCCCCCTGCAAACACGCGCGGCAGACAGGCCAGCTCTGCCGAGAGCGCAAACTCAAGTCGGACAAGTTGCAGCGGAGGAGGCGGAAGCTGAGGGCTCTGGGCGAGAGCTGCCTGGTTTGCTTATGTCTTTCCACTGGCCTTGTGTTCTTAAGGGTCAATATGAGCTGGGTCGAAGCTAGGTATCAAACACCCTCATCCCTGAGCATCTCAGTCGTGTAGCCATCATAAAGCAGGCGAGGCGATTATTCTTTATATATCTGCGGTATGTGGTGATAAACGTGGCATGGTAGCACCAATGAAGAAGAGCGT